CAATGACAACAAGACACTAATAAACTATTTTTTTAACTTATCGTCCAAACATTATTTTTTAGTTTATACCGGTGTGCAACCGATAATAAACCAAAAAACCTTTTAAATAAGTTTAGCCAAACACCCTCTTAGAGTACTTGTGATATGATTTCGGAAAGATATTCCTCAATGTTGGGAAAATTTGAGAAATGAGGTATTCGAGGAACAACATCCGTCGGTGGTGAGGTAGCGAAGAATCCGTTCTCCAAGCTCTAAAATCAAATTCTTTATCAAAGGTATTATCCCTTAAATTTATACTCCTAAAACTCTTATATAAAAAATCTGAGTAGATTATATTTTTGGCTCTTGTTGTATGTTAAAGTTTTTGGGTTTAATCTAGATTTTTCACTTATTATATTTATATAATATTTTTTACAAAGTGCGTCCTTTATTATGTTGTAAAGTTCATTCTAAAAGACAAGACTAAATTACAAAAATGGTCCCTGTGGTTTGCACGATTTTTCAGTTTTAGTTATGTAACACTCATAAAAATCATGATAAATTTAACTTTTAAAAATCCATAAATTTCACAAATTTTTTACAAACATAGTTTTCAAAAGCATTTCAACATCAGAGTTCCCAAAATCTTAAGTTCAAAACATGATGATGTGTACGGTCACACATTTGCCTTCTCGCGGTCATCTGAAGTACCTGAAACATAACCCAAAACTTTAAGCCAACGCTTAGTGACTTCCCCCAAAATACCAAAACATAGCCAATTAACATAAATATACAATAACAACATGCAATGGGTCCACAACTGAAAGTCTGGATTATCCCTGAGCCCACAACATAATTGCCCTCGAGGCCCATAGCATATGCCTGACTTGCTTCCCGACCATATCAGTCCTGGATTGAATACCATCAAACCCTCAGTTCGAGTTTGGCATGCCCTACCCGACCCTCAACTCGTATCTAGAATGCTCATGAGCCCTCAATATGAGTCTGGCATGCCCTACCTGGCCCTCAGCTCATATCTGGAATGTTCTAGGGTTTGTTGGCTACCACACGGAGCAGTACATCGTCGACCCAACCCAACATAATATATCAACATATACTAAAAAATAAACATAAACAGATAATCATGCAACAGAGTCACAAGTAGTCCTATAGATCTACCAGTCTGGCATATTAATAACTAGCATAAACATGCATATATATCCCATGCTTAGCACATCATTGAGTATCAAACCAATGGGCCATCCTCGTTGCCTTCGACCCACAAGTACAATGAGAAAACTCACATCACAAACTGAAAAGAAGTTGATGAGGTCTCGACTCTGAATCTCAGCTCTCTAACTGACACCTATTTCCACCAATTGACCAATTCCATCAAAATCCCAAAATACCCTCATTATCAAACTTGGTCAAAGTCAATTGGTCAAACCCACTAAGTCAATTGAGTCAACATAACCAAGTCAACTCGACCAAGTCCACTCAGGGTACGTACGTAAAGCGTACTTCTGAGGTACGTAGGATGTACTCATAAGGTATATAGGACGTACACGAGGCCTCATAGATTGACCACTATCAGGGTGGTTGATCGAGTACGCGGAGCGTACCCTCACAATCCCAAAAACTTCATTAAGAGCTTAATAACTTAAGCTCTTACGTCCCTACTTCAAATCCATGGCCAAAATACACTCTAGAGTCATAAAGTTTCCAACTTTATGACTTTACATGCCTATTAAGAGCTTAACTCAAGGTATTAATCCGTTAAGACCTTCTACAAGACGTATGAAGCGAAATTGACCAATGGGACTTCATTTTTATGACTTAGGACCCATCCTAGGGTCTGAAAGGACAACTCAAGTCGTCAAGAACATGTCATGCTCAAAATGAGACAACTGGGACTAAAAAGCACATGAAATCAACACATAAGCAACATCTAACAAACTAGCCATCAAGGTATGAAATTTATACCTTGAAATGATGGAGAAAGGTGCAATACTTCCAGATCCAAGCTTTGCCTCAAGCTTCTAAGCTTTACTACCACCTTCTTCTTCTTCTTCTTCTTCTTTTCTTCTTCTTCTTCTTTCTTCTTCTTCTTCTTCTTCTTCTTCTTCTTCTTTCTTCTTCTTCTTCTTCTTCTTCTTCTTCTTCTTCTTCCTCTTCCTCTTCCTCTTCTTCTTCTTCTTCCTCTTCTTCTTCTTCTTCCTCCTCTTCTTCTTCTTCCTCTTCTTCTTCTTCTTCTTCTTCTTCTTCTTCTTCTTCTTCTTTTTTTGGAACACTTAAAAACCCACACTCAGCCTTCCAAAGACTCCAATGAGGGTTTACAAGAGAACACGTTTTTGATAATAAAGGCTGAAAATGGGGAAAGAATGAGACTTAAGGATGCTTAAATACTAACCAAACCCTAAAAACTAGGGTTTATGAATCTGGCAAGTATGCCCAACGTACACTGATGTATGCCCAACGTATTAGGGTGTGCACTAGTACGCTCAACGTACACCATGTACGCTTGGCGTACTCCAAAGTCCCAAAAATTACAATAATGCCATTAAGGTTCCATTGCATACTTTCTTGAACTAAGGGACCAAAATGCAACATAAATAAATTAAAGGACTGAAATTAGAAGTACCTTGACATCGGGATGTTACAATTCTACTGCAATGAATAAATTAGGATAATGCTCCCGCATCTCAGCCTTCGGCTCCAGGTCCACTCGGAGCCCCTCCGATAATGCCATTGTACCTTTACCAAAGGCATCTCCTTGTTGTGCAAGACATTCATCTTTCTTTCCAAAATAGCTACCAACCTCTCAACATAGTTCAGGCGCTCATCTTCCTGAATATTATCCAAGGAAACCACTACATCCTCATCCAAAATACACTTTCGTAGCTGCGAAACATAGAAAGTGTTGTGAATCCAATCGGGCTCCTCAGGTAGATCCAACCTTGCCAACCATGGAAATCACTCGGAAAGGTCCGATATATCGGGGATCCATCTTCCCCCTCTTCCTGAAGCGTATCACACCTTTTCAAGGTGAGACCTTTAGTAATACCATATCACCGACCCGAAACTCCAACTCGGATCGACTTCGATCGACATAACTCTTATGCCGACTCTGAGCGGTTTGTAGTCTCTACCTGGTTTGCGGAATAAGCTCTGTGGTCTGAAGGACTACTTCGGTACGTCCCATAACCTTCTAACAGCCTCCCCCAACAAACCGGGGTATGACATCTCCGACCGTACAAGAGCTCGAAAGGCGTAGTGTAACATCCATAAAATTCATGAAAATTTAAAACTTTTACAAGCATTAAAAAAACCATTATTTATTACAAAATGTTTTCAAAATAGTTTCATATTAGAGTATCCTAGAAATCAAAACCATAAAACGTGAGGAGGTGCACGATCAAGCCTTCGCCTTCCCGCGATCATCTGAGGTACCTGAAACAAAATCCAAAAATGTAAGTCTGAAGCTTTGTGAGTTCCCCCAAAATACGCGCACAAAAAATAACACACATATAATAATAGCATACTATGGGACCAATCAACCATCGGGTTGGAATGCCCGAGACCCTCAACCATCGGGCTGAAGTGCCAAAACATAGTAGATGTTGGATCTACAATCTCCTTCTCATTCCAAGCTTCTCAAACTTCAAGTCTCTTCAAGAAATGCACCAAACACACACTCTTTAACCTTACACACACTCAATATAGGAGGTTAACTCGATTAGGGGTTGTTTCTGGACGTGAAGGTGGTAAGGGAGGACTTAAGGTCCTTTAAATAGGGTGCAAACCCTAAAAATCATGGATTTCAAGCACAACCTCAACTCGTCGAGTTAGGTTCTCCAACCTGTCGAGTAGGTCCTAAAGTTCACGCGGCTTGATCAGTTTCTACATGATGAGTTTGGGAAGCCAAATCGTCGAGTAGGTCTAAAAATATGAATATAAAAGCTTCAGATTTATACCTAGGAGCCGAGATGTTACAATTCTCCCCCACTTTAACTAGACTTCGTCTTCGAAGTTTGCTGCAGCAAACAAATCCGGGTAATGCTCTCGCATCTCAGCCTCCGGCTCCCAAGTCCACTCAGATCCCCTCTAGTGCTCCCATTATACCTTTACCAAAGGTACCTTATTGTTTCGTAGAACCTTTACTTTCCTCTACAGAACAGCCACTGGCCTCTCCACGTAATTCAGGTGCTCAACGAATTGAATATCATCTAATCACACCACTACATCCTTATCTAGTATGCACTTCCACAATTGCGAGACGTGAAAAGTGTTGTGAATTAGATTGAGTTACTCCAAAAGATCTAGTCTATATGCCACCTTGCCAACCCTGGCAATAACCCGAAAGGGTCCAATATATCGGGGACCCAACCTCCCCCTCTTTCTGAAGCAAATCAAACCCTTCCAGGGTGAGACCTTCAGTAGTACCATGTCACCAACCTGAAACTCCAACTCAGATCGGCACCAGTCGACGTAACTCTTCTACCGACTCTGAGCAGTCTGTAGTCGTTGCCTGATCTGTCAAATCCTCTCGGTAGTCTGCAAAACTACCTCTGTCCGACCCATCACCCTGTGACCAATATCACCCCAACAGACTGGGGTACGACA